ATATATGTGTGTGTGTGTGTGAGTGTGTTTTCGTTTTTCGCTACTCCTTTCTCTATTAACGTTTACCGTTTATGTATATGTGCATCGAATTGCATATGATTACAAGAAATTCATTGTTTTAACAGAAATAAAATGTGAAACTATGTAGTATTTAACTTGAAATTATAATTTATAACAAACTAATTCGTAGCGAAACTGCTGGGCTTTAAACTGCAAATAAACAAATCGGTATGCTTATAAAGAATAAAGGCATTTCTTGATGTGGTCAATATTTGTGTTCACATAAAAACAAATTGCCATCGCCTTTGCCGACATGAGGACGCAATTGTTTAATTTGATTAGCGTCCTCCTTCGCTCTGCTGCTGCTGCTGCCATTACCATGCGTGCTGCAGCTCAAACATGTCGGAACTCAAGTGATGAGTAATGTCACATAGCTTATCATGCGGTGATTTTTCAAATCAGCGCCAAGAAGCTTTTCCTACAGCTGACATGCAACAAAAGCTCAAGTACACTTACAGTATTGAAGTAGTGGCTTGATCGTTCTTCCATTTTCTTTGCAATATGTTTGAAGTTCTTTTTTATTTAAATGGACTTGTATTCTAATTTTTTTAGTTCTATTTTTTTTATTTATCATTAAATATTTAGTTATAATTACTAGTTATAATATTACTATAATTATTCATTACTTTTTGTGTAGATTTTTTTCCTTTTGTATTATTTTTTGCATCATTTATTTAATATTTTATCCTTTCTATCTTGTTTGCATCCTCTATTGTTGTTGCCGTTACTTCAAAGTATTTTTTATTTTTTTATTTATTCTAAGCTGTTTCAACTGTTAACCGCACGCTTGGTTCCCCCATACACAGCTGCTGCTGATGCTGCTGCAACTCGACGCTTCTTTCTGCCTGTCGTCTACACTAGCGATCTGTTTTTTTTTTATTATTATTGTATTTTCATTATTGCTAGTAGTTGTAAATATTAGTGTAGAGTTGCCAATTGCTATGGATTCTTGTTTTTAATTATTGTGTGTTGCATGGGAGTGTATGGGCATATGGATGAGAATTTCTCCATATAAATGTGGTTATGTAGATTTTTTTTAGCAATAATTCCTCTTTTTTTAATACAAATTTGATATTGGCTAAAGGTCATCAGACATAAATGAGTTTTGCGATTTTGATTCTTCTATTCGACGAATCTGCTGGCGAAGATACATAATCCTGCAATGGAAGAGAAAAAACAATAATAATGAAAGTTGAGGCATAAGAAAGAGAGTAGAAAACACAAAGGAAAATGCGAGAAATTTCAAGACTTGACGTGTCTGAAAGGCGGCAATGCGAAAAGGGTTTAAAAATTTGCAGGAACTTCTTTATTTACAATTTTTTTTTTTTACCAGCACAGAGTAGACCTGTAAATAAAATTAAACAAAACTTCAGGAATAGGCTAAGAGCGGATCGCAACGTTGTTCGTCCATAGTGCTACATTTGCTACGTATTCTTCTGCGCAGGGCTGGCATCGAGTCAAAGGCTGGGCCAGAAACTTACACCTGCTATGTATGCCAGAGACGACTACACCACAACTACACCTCAATCAAGTGCAATGCTTGCAACGGGTGAAGTCACATTACGAGTATGCGCAGGCCTACGGACAAACCGTCAGTGGACCACTTCATTTGTGGCCCCCTGCTGCTCCAACAGAGCTGCCAACACGGCAAATCTCGTCCGACATCAATCAAGTGCAGCAACTGCCTTGGCTGGTGCCACTTTAGGGGATGTTCAGGTCTGCGCACCACGCGGCATCAGCCTATGGCGTTTAGGCAACATACATCACTCACCCCCCGTATAACAACACGTCTCCCAAAACACACGAAGCTCCTTCAATTTAACTGTAACGGACTTCAGAGCAAAATCGGGGAGATAACCGTTTTCTTTGGAAGGTATGGTATATTGATAGCTGCGGTCCAAGAGACGAAGAGACGAACAGCAATTCAACATTATTGAATTGCGTCGGATACAATGTGCACCGTCACCTGGCGTTCATCACGCACCACACCGTGCAGCATGGTATCATCGAAGCAGACATCGACCTCAGGGATACCATCCTAGAATGTCAGGGCATTGCTATCCGGTCAGGCGATGTCGAGCTCGAAATATTTAACTTTTATAAACCCCCCGTCACCAGCTGTCCGTCAGGATATCACCCTGAAATAGGTGAATAGGCTCCTCAGAGGTGAAAACCGTATGGTAGCTGGCGACTTTAATGCGCACAACGATCTTTGGCATTCAAGCCTGTCAAATAATCGAAGTAGAACACACTTGGCTGAGCAGATAGACGATTCGACATTCTGCACAATGCACGACGGACATAACAATAGTCAGCGCTGGTCTGATAAACAGCATATCAGGGCGACCTATGCTGACCTTGGCATCAGACCATCTGCCCATAGTCATCTCGATCGATAAACCTGCCTACTTTGCTTCCGCGGAACACCGGACCTATATCAACTTTACCAAAGCTGATTGGAAAGGCTTCGCGGAATTTACTGAAAGCACCTTCTTTGCCCTCCCCACACCAACCGACGTTCACCTAGGTGAAAGTAACTTCCGCAGGGTTGTCACTGCTGCTGCAGCTCGCTTCGTACCCGGAAATCCCCGTATCAGCCGTATCAGAGATCTCAATACGTACATAAGCGAAAAAAGTGGGAAGATCATCTGAAGACTTTCAACTTCACTTCTGGTGTAAGCTTTGGCCAACCGTGATGTCACTGTCCAATCCGACGAAGCACGACGACAGTCTCGAAATATCTTTCGCCGACCGCGCTTCGTCGGACCCGCAGCGATGCGCGAGCTACTTTAGCCGGCAGTTTATACTCCGGTGGACAAAGCCAAGCGTTGAGGGACCAGAAGGCTGCACAAACTGCCAACAACAAGTGCGCCGCTTGTTTTCACCAGCGGTGAAGATCAGGTAGCTATCGGGAAGGCGAAAGCCCCCAAAGCTATGGGACCCGACGGAATATGCATGTTGATGCTGAAAAATGTGGGTCTTGCGGGAGTAGACTATTTAGCCAAGGTTCTCAACCTGTCAATGGCCACTCTGATGGGCAGAGTGGTCCCACTGCTTAAACTAGGGAAACCAGTCAACAAAGGAGAGTCTTATCATCCGATAACAGTCTTTCCCCCGGTAGCGAAGACACTAAAGGCCTCCAACAGAGACTCAAACGGTGGTCAGCGAATTGTCTGACTGGTCGACACTCGTCAGTATTTTTTAGAGATAAATCGAGCAAACCTAGAAGAATAAAACAATGGGTTCCACAGGGTGGTATCCTTTCCCTATTACTATTTAACTTTTATATTTCCAAGCTCCTTTAACCACCAGAAGGATTCTCGATTCTCTTACGCTGACGATTCTTCGATATTGACGTCTGGGAATGGAATTGATGACTTGTGCTCGAAAGTAAACGGGTATATCTCCGAGCTTTCTCGCTTCTTCACTGCTAGGAGCCTAACCTTCTCCCCAAAATCCTCTGCGACCTTATTTACCACCTGGACGAAGGAGGTCATACTACCGCTAGGTGTTCACGTCAATGACACCCCAATTCCGAGGGTGAATAACCCTAAAATACTGGGAGTAACATTCGACAGTCTGCTCTCCTTATCAGCGCACACAACCGCAATTGTCAACAAAGTACAGAGACGCAACAAGGTCCTCAAGGCAATAGGCCGGTCGGTTTTAAATTACGCAGCACCAGTGTGGTCGCGGGGGACCAGTAGGACGCAGCGGATGAAGCTTAAGACTATACAAAACACCGCACTACGGACAGCGACCGGATGCCTTCTGATGTCGCCAGAACAACACCTTCCCGAAAATGCTCCTCATAGAGTAGCACAACACAATGCTCTGCAAGCAATTCCCAGTAGGCAGCCACAGACGTGGACACCCGAACGGGTATCTTCTTGCAGAGGAGCCCTCGCCAATGCACGTCAGAAGACATCTTTACGAACAGTCGGACGAATTCCAGAGGTTCATAAAGCAACCTCTGGATCCGTCAGCTTATCGACAGGCCCTGAGCGGCATTCATAGGAAGTCAGTCTCAAGTTACGTGGACTCCAGACCTTTGAATACCGTTCTGGGCACACAACCACCGGACATAGACTAGACGGAGCTTCGTCTGGCTACTGCAGCAGTTTGAACTCATACTTGAGCAGAATAGATGCAGATGTGCCAAACGAATGTCCGGCATGCGGAGAGACACGACTCGAAACGTCTATTCGCATGCCCGGAAAACCCTAAGCAAGTAACACATCTGTCCCTGTGGACAGACCCTATAGAGGCTTATTGGGTCTTCCTTGAGTTGAGCTTGACGATAGCGACTGAGATACTAACCGATCATGGCGGGGTTGTTGTAACAGCTACAACAACAACAGGAGTGAACAACAATCAATGGGGCTTAAAAGCTGCCGAGACAGTATTTAAATTACCCACAAAAAAGCAATTCGCTTTAACAGTGAAGCAAACCTACGTCTTGTAGGCTAAGCTATTCAATATCAGTGATCAGTGATGAGTCAAATTTAAAGTATGTAGTTTCGCGCTCAGTAAATTGTTTGTTGATATTATTTAGCTATGGAACCTTCATCCTCAGGTATTCAACTATGTTTGAATAGCAAAAACAAATTGAGTTATATAGCCAAAAAATATGAAATTTAATATAATTTAATATTAAATATTTTGGTTGCCAAAACGCGAATGCCCTGACTGTTTGTTTGTCTTGTCCTCGTTTACCAGAAGTCTTTACCCTTTGCTTCCTTATCCATCTTGGAAAAGGCAGAAAACCTTCGCAGTTTTGTTACCGATGTCATCGGCATACGCCAGCAATTACACGCTCTTGTAGTAAATTGTTCCTAAACGGTTCAGTTCTATTTCACATGAACAAATCGTCGCCTGGGTAAAAGATTGTCGTAAGCGCCATTTTGACGATTTTTAGTTCTAGATGCTGTTATATGTTTTGAAATAAGTTCTTTCGATTGGTGTTATCAGTTTTTAGGTATCTCCTTTAGTTTCCGAGATATTGACTACAATTTTTTCGATAATTTGGTAAAAATTTAGTTAGTGATGCAGTCATATTAAACTAACCAATATCTTAAAAATGGCTTTTTCCATTTTTGGATATTTCCTTTAGTTTCTGAGATATTGAGTAAAAAGTGTCGTTAATTTAGAAGAAATTTTGATCACATTTTGTCGTATCTCATACAAAGTGGCTGCCAAATTGTGGACAGATGGCGCTTACGACAAAATTTTACTAAAGAAAATCCTTCAAAAAACTCAAAACCAATTAACAATAAATATTAAAAATTAAATAATTTAAGAGTTTTGTGAACTAGTAACATTTTCAGAGACTTTGGAGAAAATCTATCTTCGCGTTTTTGAGAATTGTACCGAAATTAACATACGAAAATCTTTTACTCAGGCGACGAATATGTATTCCCAAAACCTATAAAGCAAAAAAAATAACATTTTTTCCCGATTTGTTTTTGTTTTGCTTGTTAAATTATGGGAACGATTTATTCACATGGAATTGGCGATAGAAATCACACGAAAGGGAGTCACCTCGTTTGGTATCAAATTGCTTGGAGAGGTCCTTCCCGATTCTGACGGAGCTGGTGGTTTTGCTGAACGTCATTTTACACAGCCATATCATTTTCGCGGGGATGCCAAATTCAGGATATTTTCGGAACTTATCGATATAATAATCGACATTTTTATCGATTTTGGTATCGATATTTATCGATTTTGTTATCGATATTTTTAACTATTCTGTTATCGATATTTATCGATTTTGTTATCAATGTTTATCTATTTTGTTATCGATATTTACCGATTTTGTTATCGATATTTATCGATTTTGTTATCGATATTTTTAACTATTCTGTTATCGATATTTATCGATTTTGTTATCAATGTTTATCTATTTTGTTATCGATATTTACCGATTTTGTTATCGATATTTATCGATTTTGTTATCGATATTTTTAACTATTCTGTTATCGATATTTATCGATTTTGTTATCAATGTTTATCTATTTTGTTATCGATATTTACCGATTTTGTTATCGATATTTATCGATTTTTTATCGATATTTATCGATTTTGTTATCGATATTTTTATGGATTTTCTAATCAATTTTGCTACCCATATCATTATTATAAATTTTGCTATCGAAATTTTTATCGAATTTGTCATCGGTTTTGTTAACGATATTTTTATCGGTTTTTTTATCGATATTTTGTTGGATGTTACTATCGATTTTGTTATCGATAGAGTATAAAGATAAAAATGAAGATAAAGGCAAAAGGAATAACATAAATATAATTAACAGAACGAACAGGGGTAAAGGTAGGGATCTAGATAAAAAAAAATACAAAAAATATAACCTTAAGCAGAAGCAGATGCATATGTATATTGGTTATGAGACAAAATAGATATGTAACGTAAGTTTCACTTCTCCAGTGTGGCCCAGGCGCACTTACTTTTTTTTCTAATATGTGTAGTCTGTAAGAACATCGTGTTGATAGATTTCATAAACAAATAAATAAATGAAATCCCAAAGTCGCACATTCGATATCCGTTTTCTGGTTGCATTAAGTTAAAAAAGCGGGTAAGATAAATTGATTATTCCCCTTTTTAGTTCTACTTTTTTCGAACAAACTAGCGAATAACATAGATAAATTCATTTATTCAAATAAAATACAACTAAATAGGGGTTTCCTGTGGTCAAATCAAAACACAACAAAAATTTTACATTAGTTTATATCTGTTTATATAGTTGTTGTATAAGTTCCGACGTCATAGATAATTCACAGTTGATAGCGTTCTGGAGTAAAATGAGCCACGAATCACAATGGAATGGTGCTATATTTACTGAAATTCATGACAGTTTTGCTTGAAATTTTACATAATTTTGTGAGCATAAAATTTTTTGAGTGCTTCTTTGAAAAGGGTTATTAAAAAAAGGGTTATTTAAAAGCGAGCTGAATTGTCCTTAGGGCAAGTAAGCATTAAGAATGGGTGTGATATTCGAAATAGTGCCAGCTGGGAGAAACTGTGACGCCCACATTTATTGTTCTTTTTTTGACACACCACACTGCCTGTAAAATTAATTTAATTTTTTTTTTTTTGTATGGGTGAAGAAGAGCACTGTTATGTGCAGTGGTTGAAAGATTAATAGGGACACGACGTTTTAACAAATTTTGCCTATTTTTCTTTTGTTTATTTAATATTTCTTTTTTTTTTTATAAAAATATGGCTCATTATCTAACAAAAACCGTATAAATTCATACTTCAAATTTTGTGCAAATATTATAAAAATTCTGCGAAATTGCCCCAACATTTACGACTTTTTAATGAGATTTTACAGAATTCTTTTAAGTGTCCAGATTTATAGCCCATTAAATTTTAGTATAATAAACCTAAAATTTGAAGTTTCTAAATTGCGTTGATTTTTGATAATTTTCTTTCTGGCTGCTTTCCGGATAATCCCATTTCACAGCCGGAATAAAAAGAATGCTTTTGAAATATACGTTAACATATCATCAGGAACGTTCTAAAGAATAAGTAAACAAAAAAGTTTATTCCAAACGTTCAGAATGAATAAAGAAATGCAGCCTCTGAATGTACTTTTTGATTGAAAAATAACTTTCCAAGTTGGTTTTTAATCTCCGAAAAACGATATTTAATTTTTTTCACCATTAGCTTATTATTGCACACAAATTCGCCAACAAATGTGTCACATGGCAATGGCCGACATCATATTCCACACAAAATAATACTGTTCACGCAGAAGCCCTGAATTCATAAAAAACAAAGTCATTGAAGATCTATACACCTAGCAAGCATTATATTTCAAGTATGTATATTAATTTCGATATCATGCAAGAGAAACATTATATACAGTTATCCAAAAAATAATAGAAGTACGATATTTTGATCAGTTTTGGCTAATGGCCTTTTATTTATTTAAAGTTATTATTTTTTTATAAAAGTATAGCTGGTTATACAACAAGCACCATATAAATTCAGATTTCAAACTTTGTACAAGAATTATGTATTAAAATTTCGCAATTTTTCACCCTTATTTCAAACTTTTTTATAAGAATCTTTGGAAACAATTTTGGTATGCAGTTTTGTAGCCAATTAATTTCAATGAAGTCCAACTTTCAAGCTGCTAAAAAATTCCGTTGGTTTTTGGCAATTATTTTGCTCCATATAAAACAAATTGTCGAACATACTTTACATGGAAAAAACATGACCTTAAAAGCCCCAACCCAAAAAAAATCTCAAAAATCAACGGGATTTTTCTGCAACTTGAAACTTGCACCTTAATATACTAGAATTAAATAGGCTAGAAAACTGAATACCACAGTTTTTTTAAGATTCTGATTAAAAAGTTTGAAATTTGGGTGAAAATATACGACATTTTTATAATTTTTGTACAAAGTTTGAAATCATAATTTATATGGTGTCTGTTGTATAACCAGCCAGACTTTTATAAAAAAAAAATAATAAACATTAAACAAAAAAAGACAAATAGCCAAAACTGGTCAAAATACCGCAATCCTATTATTTTGGAGACAACTGTTTATAATATTTCATCGAATATTTTTGGCCCTATAAGTTTTCCTGTACATGTGTTTTGCTCAAAATATTTGCAATGAAATTATTATCTTGAACTACAAAAAAAACTTGAGAAAACTGAACATTTTTAAAGGAATAATGGTAGTATTTCCTCAACGTTTTTGGGCCGTGTGAGATTTTGACGCTCTTTCCAGTGTAAGAGAATTCCTTTATTTCTTCAAAGTTTAAATATTTTTTCATACTCACTTTTGTTCTTG